TTTTTCCCCCTTCATTCAGCCACCAACACCTCTTGGTGGCTCCCAGGCTTTCCCATGGGCATCTGTGGGGTCAGCCCCTTGCCCTCTCATCTGTGAGTGAACACTTGTCTCTGCTGCTGTGGGGGCCCAGTGTGCAAATACTGTAGGAAGAGACAGCCTTTTAATGTCCCAACCCACTTAAATTTTGTAACACCTTTAAAACATTTGCTTGTTTTATCACTGAGATATCTGGCTAGTGATTTTTATTTATTTATTTATGTATTTTAGCAGCCAGTACTACTGTTCTTTGATGTGCACTTTTCAGGTAAAATATTACCTGTTGTTTTTTATCAGCCTTTCCTTCTGCATGGCTACCCTGTGGATGCAGATTACTCAAACACAACTTCACACCACTGTGCTGTCAGGTCGACCTGGGTTATGTTGGTAAATTCTCATTGCCTAACACCCTGCCCTAACCCAGCACACCTCCTGCATTTACCTGGGGAAAGACTAAACAAATATACATCTTTTTTCAACCTTTCTGTTTAATTTCTGTAAACTCACAGAAAATGCAGAAGTCACGTGAAGGAGCTGAGTGGAGGTTCAACATTTAGGTGCAGGGCTACAGCACTGAGCACAGTTAGAACATCTTTTTCATCAGCTTCTTTAATGGGGAGTTGTTTATTTTTACAAGCATGGAATCATATCTCAATGTTATTATTGAACACACCACAACTGAAACATCCCCTTCACACCTTCAGAGGGGATCTGCCTGTCTACGTTTGATAATGGAGAGTAGCCAAGCAGATATATAAGCAGGTCTCTCACTCGTGCACTGTGGATCAGCAGGAGGACTTTCACAGGGCTTCCTGCCAACTGGCAGTACTTCAATTTAATAATTCCATATAGCACTTCCCTACAGTGCACTGCAGGCTGTTGTAAGGCTTCATTAGCTAAGGCCTGTAAAACACTGTGAGTCCTTAAATAAAAGTGGCTGTTTTAATGTCAGATATTAAGGGGATGTTTTTTCTCAATGCAAACTTACTGTTCCAGCCTGGAGAAGCTAGCTCCCACCCACCCCTCAGTGCAGCCAGCTCTGGTAAGGACAGGCATCAGCTACCAGTGACAGTGCAGTGTTACCAGCACCATCTATGAATGGGATTGCCTGGAGTGGCCTGAAGGGAACAGTGGTACACTGGTTTCTTTCACAGCTAAAGGAACATTTCATCGATTTCTTAACAGAACTCATAATTTTCTCTATTGGCAACACTACAACAGCTAAACCTATTTGCAGGCCAGTCATGTCTTTAACAGAACATTTTATCCAATTACATTTAAAACCATTATAAAGACTCATAAGAAAAAAGTAACAAAAAAGAGGTAAGAAGGCTATATTTTACTGTAAGTGGAAACTATTGCCATTACTATTAACAGAACAATTCACTCTGAACAGTGGTAAGCTTTTAGTGGTGCATTAAATAAATAAATGACAGTTTAAATTAAAACATTTAATCAACTGCTAGCCTTTGCAAACCTTTCTGCACTTTGTCATCAAGGCTATGTATCCATTGACAACAAGGACCTTTTTGTCCAGTTTTGATGAGCAGAGAAAACAGCCCTCTAGCTGTGACACAACGAGCTACCATTCTGCATTGTTCCCTCCAAAATTAAATAAAATAATTAAGAAACCAGATTATTTAGAGGAGGTATGTATTGAAAATTAAGGGAATCATTCTGGTAAAAAAGAAGAATATATCTTATACACATTGGAGATCACTACTGTAAATAACAAGGGACAGTTTTTTACTTTATCTTGTCAAGCTGTGTCTATCCGTTTCCTAATGGCCACTGAAGTGCAATACCTTTTGCTCTCCCTAAAATAAAAAGCGTAGAGAAACAGACTTTTTACAGTGGTGGAGACAAGGTCATTCAGAGGAAGGAGAGATGCCATGAGCATTGCTGGACGCCCACACCAGACCACCAGGTGTCTGGTCTGTGCTGGGGGGGGGGGGGGGGGGGGGGGGGGGGGGAGTCACAAGGGCACAGGGGAGGGAAAAGCTGGGCCCAGCACCATGCACCGAGAGCCATTTTGGGGAGGGAGATGTGGTCGACTTCCTTTTCCTTTGGTCCTCTCTCCTTCTTTACCATTCCTCACTCCTCCCAAGAAGGCCTGATGGACCACATTTCAGCTACGTTCCTTCATCAGGCAGAGAAGAAACACCGGCTTGTACATATTTCTGACACAGGCCTTGCAACATCTTGGCAAATGAGGCCAGGTGGCTCAGGCAGTATGGTGTACCTGTCCTTCCCCTCCCTCTGCTTGGCTGCCCCTGGGCCATTTGGGCCCCTTCACCTCCACCCATTCTTCAGCAGCCAGAGTGACTTCCCAGAAACACAGTCTGAGAGGGATAAATACAGAGAAACTGTAAGGTCAGCCTCATAGCCCAGGTTTTGGGAATGTTCATGCAGCTGCTGAAAGCACTGCCCACACTGTCCTGCTCTGTCTGTCAGGCTGTCTCCATCTTCTTTACAGACACTCAGCCTTTATACTTTATTTCACCCCAAACACTTTCATCATGTTTTTATGCAGCACAAGCATGTCAAACAGAGTAGTCATTACTTAATTACTTGATATCTAAATCAGAGAGTTTAGTCAAACATCTCAAGTTTGCTTAATTATAGCCAACTTTATATAAACATCTGCTAGCAAACACCAGGCTTGCAGGCAGTACACCACAAATGACAGGAATGCTCAGGAGAATAATCTAGGGTAACAAAATAAACACAGTGGTTCATCTCAACTTGCTAATCTTCTGAATATTTCCATTTTAGAGTGATTTTGACAAGCATTTTTGAATTTCAACCAGAACTTGACGTATCATTGGAGTGTTTTGTTTTGCTACTACAGTAGACCAAAAACTGAGGTAGCATTTCTATCTTATACCTGGTTCCTCAAGGAATTGTGTAATTAACCATATACCATTTCCTTCCTCAATGGAGCACAGTTAGGAAGACCTGAGCCTGGCATAAAAGCATATGTAGTTAACTGTAGATCCATAAATTGAAATACACTCAGAAGTGAGTGTACAGGCAGGGACAATTTTGTGGTAATTGCCCTATCAGATTTTTTTCCCATTACACTATTCTGTGACCATGTGTATCAGCCTTTAGGCACTTTACTCCAGACAAAATCAGGGGCTTTTAGATGGAAGTGGAATCTTGTCCTCCACTTTCTCACAGTTAGGTGCTGGAGAAGATCTCTACCATGACTAGATCAAGTGTTTCCTCACAGATTTTTCCTTCCAAGAGAAGAGCCTAGATCTCTCTAGCTGGTAAAACTGTATCCAACATACCCAGCAACTGGAAAAGGTGTAACTCAAATGGGAAAGATCTGAAAATTGGTGCCTCTGGTTTATAGGCTGGCTGGTGGAAGCCAGCAATTCTGAGACCCCAGAAACAGTCAAGAATGTCCTTGTCAGGGTGGCATGGGAGTCTGTCACAAAGTGGAAAATACTTGATCAGCAGCACAAGACATCTGTTGTCTCTTCTGCAGAGGCTTTAGAGGCAGCAACAAATGGCCCTCACCTACAGTATGAGCATCTTGTTTGATTTATTGAATATTTACTAGAGTAAATAAACATCCTAAGCAACTATAAAATAACAATTAAACAAATATCAACCACGCAAGTCCAAATCACTGCTTTCACCTCCGTCTCATATGCTTTGGTTGCCACAGGCTGCCTACAACTGAAGTGACTTGCATGGCTGAACTCCACTGTACAGGGGGACCTGGGTGCCAGCATGGTGGCAAGGAACTGTGGGCAGAGCGGTCACAGGACTCAACTAATCTTCAGTACATACGGTCTTCACAAAAGTAGACTTTAATCTTTTTTGTGATTTATGTGTTTTCCCTTCATAGCCCTGGATGGCAGGGCTGTTACTCTGAGGGGTGCAGCCAGGACATGAAACCTCTTATTGACCTTTTGTATTGTGTGGTGCTTTTTAGCAGCACAAGTAAAAACTGATTTTATTAATCCTTTTCATCAACCTAATGTCTTTCTCGGGGCATTTTAAATTATTTTAAATTATTTTAAAATTTAAATTATTTTTGAATTATTTTATTTATTTATTTATTTAAACTAAGAGGGTGCTGTAGAGCCTTAATCCATGTTTTATTTTGAAGCCGTGAAGATTCGTGTCATCTCAGCTCCCAGGAACTGATCTGCCTTCGGTAGCCATGCAGCTCTGCTGTTTCTGAATATACCAGCTGACATCTTTGCCCTTTAACAGCACGAGCATCCTGTGGAAACTCCCCATTCCTCATCTGTGGTTCAGTCCTGCCTGTCCTTGGGGAAACCCTTTCCTGTCTTTCCAGTGGGAATAGGAAGCAGATGTGGAAATTTAACATCAATTAGTCCTCTTTCTTCCTCTCACAAAGACGGCTATGGATATGTAGCACAGTGCTTCTGGCTGGTGGAGATGTCCAGACTCCTCGGAGATGGACAGATGCAGTATGTTACACCCAGACATTCCACAGGCCTCACTCACTCAGACAGGCCTCAGCACATTCACAAGACTCTTTTCACCTTGCTCAGAAGAAAAAACAGAGTATCTCCCATCACTTTTCACCTGGAGGTCAATTCCTCCAGGCCAGTGCCTCTATGCACCTGTACAGGCCTATAGATTTAGACAGGGGTTGGTGTTGAACCAGCCACAGTGCCCATACAGGAGGAAAGGACATGAGATGCCTCACTGCTCCATGTCCTGACCTAGTCCTGTCCCATTTTATAAATCCACATGAAATTAATTAACTTTCTGCTGCCTAGATCATTGTTTAATGTTGATAGAAAACATCAGTTAAAATGACTGAAAAATATATGTGGTCAGCCTTACTAAGTGCATTAATGGCAATACACTGCAATACAGTATGTAATCGTGACATATCCACCTGTTTCTAACAGCATTACATAACGTCCCAAGGCGGACTTGCAGCCACACATGCATTTTCACTCCAGTATTACCTGGTTCTGGTCACCATGGCAGGCAGCCGGTCTTAGCGTTTTGCCCGATGGGATTACCGTATTAGCAGTCTAAAAATTATTAAAAACAAAAATAAAAAGAACGTGATTTTGACATAGTAAAGCTTATGCCATTTCCCAGTGCTGCTAAAGTGTCTTAAATCACCCACAGGAGAGGAACTTTTCTTGTTTGGCATGGCTTAATGATGGCCCCAGAAAAAAACTAATTAACCTAATGTCAGGAAACCTAGTGAGAAATATTGAACATGACATTAATAACTGTGCAAGTGCCAAAGTCTTTTTTTTTCTTTCTTTCTTTAAATTATTATGCAATTTTTATTCTTGTTGATCAAATTATGCCAGAACACTTTTGACCTGTCAACATGATCTTATAAAATTTACATTTACATAGGATCTTCCATACTTATCATCATCAAATATCTTCACAAAATAGTTTTGTTTGTTTGTTTGTTTGTTTGTCTGTTTGTTTTTTACAGAGGAGGACAGAGGTAATCAATCTGTAGAATCGATTAGGGAAAAATCAAGAGAAATCCTAAATTCACTAAATCTGTTATGTCCATAGTGAGTCAAGGCAGAAAAAAAAAAAAAAAAAGAAAGAAAAGAAAAAAAAAAAGAAAAAGAAAAAAGAAAACAAAGCAAAACAAAACAAAACATTTTTGTCTCCTAAACCTGCTGTGTGGACTGCATCTGCTGTGGGTAGAGAGAGAAATTTTAGCGAGGAAATTAAGCAAGTACATGAGAAGAAGAGCTGACTATCTTAACTAAGACACAAGTTTGCTCCTGAAATCTCCCTTAATTGACTGAAGAGGCTTTGCTGTATGGCTCCCTGCTATTACTTGTCAGTAAACTTAAATTGCTTCTTAGAACAACATCCTGAATAAATGAACCTCTAGATTAAATCATTGTGATGGACACATAAGCACACACAAGGAGGGAAAGGAAGAATTACAAATACCCTCATAAAATTTATGCCTTCCGTCTTGGGAATTCCTGAATATTTTAATGTTTTATCCCATTAGTACTGCATCAGACATATGATCTTAAGTGGCTTTCTCTCCTCTTCAATGACAAAGTGATGAGTTGATACCAAATCAGGTATCCAGTTGTTGTTTTTTTTTTCTGTGAAACTTGCAAAACATTACTGCCAACTTGAGTTACTCTCATGTAGGTAAAGGTGGTAATCTTCTTTAAAACACTTATCAGCTTACTGTAAATGAGGTAACCTTCATCCATGGAAAGTGCCAAATTCAAGAATGAATGTATGTGATACTTACAGAAATGTGTAAGGTAGATAAAGGAGTGAGTCCAAAATGTGTTCAAGGAATTAACAATTGCAAAACTCATAAAATCCTTAAAGAATTTGTCTGACCTTTGGGCCATAGCTTTCTATTTTGTGGAGAACAGAAAGGCTAAATAGCCCTAAGCACTCCCTGCTGGCAAAGAAAGACCTTTTCAGCCTACAAATATATTTTTTTAATACTTCAGTGTATTGATCAGGTGTTAAACTATCACCCACTGTTCAATAATTCATTACACTTTCTAATGCACTTAACTGCTAAACTAGCTGTCGTGTTAAAGCTTTGGAATTAAAATGGACTGGTGCTGCTGAATTGTGGTTAAGTCAGAAAGCCAGAAGACTCTAGCTTCCTTTCTGATGAGAAGTGCATAAAGCTGTTAAAGTCTAATCTAATTATTTTATAGTTAATTTAAAAAATCTTGCAAGTGATGTGTTCACCTAACTGCCAAAACTCAGAGGCTCACCCTACTTGTTGAGAAAGTATTCTTGCAACAAAGCAGAAAAATAGGGTAGAAGGGAAGAAAAAAAAAAAGAGAGAGAGAGAGAGAGAGAGGGAGAGAGAAAGAGAGAGAGAGAGAATAAGTCTCCCTGCTCCCCAGATCTATCTTCAGGCACAAACACATTGAGCATTGCCCAACCTATGAGCGGATGTAATCAAAGCCACCACCAACATTGGTGCTTGGATGGGGTGAGCACCTGCACTGTGAGGATCTTGGGACGTTGACTGCCAAGAGGGAGCACGACACATGGCTATTGGAAGGCAAAGTGCTCTCCATCACAGTCATGTTACAACCTGGCTTGAAAGAAAAAGACTAACTTTCATGTGACCAACTTTAGGAGAAGAAAAAATGGCATGGTTCTGAAGTGCAAAGACAAGCTGACTATTTTTTTTTTTTTTTCAGTTTTTGGCACTGAGCCTCCATGACCTTCTTCCCGCAGATCAGTTGTTCAAACACATCCACTCTTCAACTGAAATGAATTTGGGATCCTGAAAAGAGAGCAGACTGACAGACCTTTGGGTTAAAAACCTCCCAATATGTCACAGACATTAAGACAAGCTGTTAGTGACCTTTGCAGGCTTATACTGTATAACACATTTTAATGTGCTTATTTAACAAACCTGTATAGAAGAGTGCACTGGATGTGGCTGGAGCATCCCTTCGCCAACCTCCTCCAGAGCTGTGTCTCCCTGGGATACCTTGGTAAGGGTGTGCTTGGATGACTTCAGCTTTGATTAAAAGACTGTTTCTAGTAATAGCTTTTCTCATCAATTTTCTTGAGCTCTTTGTTGCCACTGACAAAGTTACCTCCTGGTTTCTGATGCTCTTGAAGGCATAGAGACAAGCCAGACATGTGCCTCTGAAAAATGAGGCAACAAAGAGAGCAAATGCTAGTACTGCAGAAGTCTTAACCCACCCCTCTTTTAATGATGGCCCAGCATCTCTGATAATAGTTGAAGACACTTAGACTAAGTGTTTTAAAATCATCTGGACCAAGTTCCTCAGCCAGAGTGGAAGGTGTCATTGTACCAGTAAGGCTAACTATTGAAGAGATACTAAAAGAACTTCAACTTATAAGTGGAAAATATTTAAGTGTAATTCCAATACTTAAAAATAAAGACAGAAATTTTCCAATCTGACACTAACTTATGAGAAAATTTTAATGATTTTATCAACAAAGAGTTAGAGGCTAAAAGTATGATTAATACCATTCATCTTGGTATCTTGTAAGGAATGTTCTGTCAATCATTTATTCTTTATTTAAATATAAATCTATATGTATAGATATAAACAAGTCTGTGTTGATGCAAACCATTTCTTTTACTGTTATACAACATCTTGACTAAAGAGCTCACATTTTCTGGATTTAGTGAGTACTTTCTAACTCACTAAAAAATGATTCAGTGATAACTTTCCAAGCTGTGATGACAATGAAAAGGTATCAGGAAGCAGTGCCATGAGAAAAGGGATATTCCCAAGAAAATGTCTTTGGTCCAATGTTAGTTGACATTATCAATGATCCAGGTGGAAAGAAGAGTAGAGTAGAACTCTTACTCAGTAAATATGCAGGCAACACAAAGACTGATGGGGTATCAGATAACAAGAAATGGCAGATCTCCTGGGCTGACGTGAATCACCTCACTAAATGGTCTCTGTACCTTGTAGAGATGACATTGTACTGTGTTGCATCAAGGAAACTGATGAGAGAGATGGTCTGATTCTTGCGTGTCCAATCAGGTACCTCCAGGAAGAATAGGGATAAGACAAAGGAGAAGGGTTTACTTAGGCTTAAATTTAGGGATGGGAGCTGAAAATAGCTAAATGTCCTTGCAATGAGATATTGCTTCACAGTGGAAAGGTAATTAAAAGGTAGAGAGGATTACTGGAAGAATGGGTAGACTTCTAATCACTTAGTCTTTAAAATGAGATTCCCTGCTTTTCTAGGGGGCTTGCATGCTTTAATCCTCTTCTGGAGAAATTAAATGCCCTCTATGCAGAGCAGGTCAGAGTAGATGGCTGCAGTTGTTCAGTGGGGCCTCACAGTCCGTGAATAATTCATTGATAAGTCTGATGTTAAGTTTGCAGTATGGCAGAGAGGAAAAAAGAAGTGTGGCTTTGGGCAGCATCTATGAAAGGAGCAGGCTTCCCTTAAACATCCTGGGACACCAACTCAAGCCACTGCACCTCCACAATGAGTTACACTCAAAGGGAACCTGGAGAGGAGCAGCAAAAACTGCTCTGACAAAGGGTGGTTTATGAGCAGAAATTCTGGTGCATAACCAGGTAAGACACCGTGTTACCATAATGTCTTAGAGAGGTCAGTATTAAGAGAGCTCAGAAGTTTTTGCAGCACTTTTCCTACAAGAAATAATCTGCTACTGAGAATGTCAAAATGTGGAGGGCTTGTAGGTATTGCTGTGAACTTGTAAAACTGCATTAGGAAACATGACAGGAATAGAAATCCTGCATTCAAGGAGGTGAATGCAGTGATTTAAAAGTATTTCAACTGTGACTTGCTTAATGATTACACCATTTACAGTGCTCCTGAATCTCCTTGGTGGCAGCTGAGTATACTGCTCCCCACACCATGCTGACAAGGGATCTGAGCAGACAGAGTGTCTTGTCTCCCTGTGACATGCAGTGCACTTTGCACCAGGTGGTACTAATGAGGATGGCTGCAGCCTCCAAATCCTCCTGCTCACTCATATTGGAAATGCAAAGTGAGCTCGTTGCCTCCACACAGCCCCTGGCAAACCAAATCTGCAAGGATAGGTGACAGCTAAGGCAGAGCAGGGCCCTTTGAATGAGAGATTCTGTTCAAATCCAAGGAAGTGTAAAAAGAGAAAAATAGAGAATGATGTGCCACTGAAGGAGAGGCAGAGAAACACAATACTTAAGCCTTGAATAAAAATGAAAAACTAATCACACTGCATTCAGGCTGTGGATAGAACATTTCATCCCCCTTTTTGTATTCTGATCAGTCAGGCAGGCATGAAAATGACCTTTCTTGCATGCATGTTGTCAGAAACCTGCTTCAAGCAAATGTTTATTTTATCTGACTGGATCTCAGCCGACCCATAGCACAGCTGATACCAGATGTTTTCTATTTAAGGACCATTCTCTGGGAAGTTAAGCTCAGTCAGTACAGCAGGTGTCTGTGTGCAATCACTTCATCTTCTGCATCCCCAGGACCATTCGGTGCTCTGTGACTGCAGCTGACGGTGAGCAGAGCACTGCTTACCGTCATGCTGCTGTTTCGCATGTATTGCCCCAAAGCTCTGGGTAGGATTTGAAGGATCTTGTGCTGGTCTCAGGCCCACAACAAGCAGCATCATAAATGCCCTCTGAGGTCTTACTGGTGTGCTCTTCCTGTGGTGTGACCACACAAGCCTTCAAGACATCCCTTTCTCCTACTGGAAGGAAGTTTTCTCAACACAAGTGGAGATTAAAAACAAAATGATTAAATCCTTTCAGACTTACTGTATCAGCCTCCAGATATCTTTCTCTCTATGTCTGTATTTAGAGTTTAGAGAATATAAACCCATAGAAAGCTGCCTGCTGAAAGCAAAAAGTTTACCTACCGCTGTTTAGCTTGCCAGTGCAATGTATGAAACCTACTGAAATGGGCCATACTAAAAGGTCTGCCTGGATCACAGCAGCTAACGCCCCAACATCTGGCAAAATGTGGCTGGGGGCCACAGTGAGCCAGGGACGGTTCTGTTATATTGAGTAATGTCTGACGCATTTCTCTGTCATTGACATACTCCATCTCCCCACATGAATCCATGCACCTACACCATTCAGTGTCAGAGAGTTCACAGACAAGCCATACGTCCCTGGAACAGATCGACAGCACAGCAGGCAGAGGCTCATGTGCTGGGAATCACCCGTCTGTTCTGCACCCATCACCTGTCAACAGGGGCAGCATAAAGGAAAGTTTTTGAAAAAGAGATGAATGTGGACCAAAAGGTTGAATGTCATGAAGGGAAAAGGAGAAAACGAAGTATCGGTAATGTTTGCATTATTTGGTTTTCTTTTCTTTCTTTCTTTCTTTCTTTCTTTCTTTCTTTCTTTCTTTCTTTCTTTCTTTCCTTCCTTCCTTCCTTCCTTCCTTCCTTCCTTCCTTCCTTCCTTCCTTCCTTCCTTCCTTCCTTCCTTCCTTCCTTCCTTCCTTCCTTCTTTCTTTCTTTCTTTCTTTCTTTCTTTCTTTCTTTCTTTCTTTCTTTCTAATATATTATTACAAATAATTGCTTTTCAAAACCTCAGCATATGATCATACTAGGCATTCTGGGCACTATCATTTTATTTATTTAACTGGCATATTCCATGTTTTCTTGAAGAAGAGCTATTCATTTTGTGCAGAAATTTTGAGTTTATCGTTAGACTTACAGCATTCAAGCAGAAAACAGGAAGACATCTAAGGGAAGCAAAATATTTGAAAAAATGAGAACAACAGGAGAAACAAAGAGAATGAATTCCTAGGCTTATAAGAATGTTGGTGATATCTGAAATGGGTAAGAGTTTTCATGGTGGAGCTGCTACTTGTTCTGTACATGCAAAGACCATGACTGCATCTCAGTGTAACAACCTGCCTACTGACCTGCAGCAGTCTTACAAAATGCCAGGCAGCAGAAAGGTGGAATGCAAGAGGGGTTTTGCTGACTTCTGTGGGTAAAAGACAAGTGGTGGAGAGACATCTGCCAGTGGTGATCCAGTTATCAGCCAGGATTTCAACATTGAGGAGATTTCTTAGTGTGGGTAGACAGAGAAGAGGAAAGTGAAGAAGACTTAAAACATGTCTGTTTGCTCAATTGCTTTGTTATGAATCTAAAGGATTCGACTGAAGGAACTCAATTGTACTTTTCAAATTTTCAAATTTTCAAATATAAGTGTTTCAATTTGTTTGTGGAAAATGATGAAACACAGCTCACAGAGCAATCAAATTCTCTTGCACATGTCATTCAGGATGGTGAGGTTGTCTTCATAGTCCTTTCATAGCCCTCCAGAGCTTTCCAAGCATGACCCACATCTGCTTGTAATGGGTCATTATCACTGCTGTACCTGGGAGCCCATAGGCAAAACTGAGCATGGCGCAATGTGTTCAGAGCCTACTTGCATGCTTGCAAAGAAGGGGAGCATATATGCACAGACAGAGGCATAATCAAGGGGACAAAGCCAGCTCCGAAAAGACATCACTAATGTCCCAGAGAGGCAGTTGGCCCTTAAACAAGATCTTTTCACCAGTGTATTCCAGGATTTAATTACATTACAATGGATGGCAGGAATTCATCCTCCTACGGCTACGTGGGGATATAGAGATTACTGAAGAGTAGGTAAAGAGCTGAGCATATTATAGCATTAGAACTGATTTATGCCCTGTTACTGAACTTAGCTTTAAGAGAAGAAAAGAAATTCCTTTGCTTATAAAGAAAAAGAAAATGCATCAGTGTTGAAAGAAATTCGGCAATAAAAGGAACTCATAATTCAATGAAGAGGAAAAAAAAAAAAAAAGCAAACAGGGAAACTATGTGATACAATCTCAATAAATATTGTGAAAACAGTCCAGATGCTTCTTCACATGATTTCTATAAAACTCCTTTGGCTTGCAACATGCCACTGCATTTACCAGTTCTAGAAAGGAGCCATATACTTTCACATCAACTACTAGATGTCAAAATAACCGGGACAGTTGCAAAACAGTTGCTGCAGCAGAGAGGAAATAAAAGTATATATATATATATATTTATGTTTTTGGTACACACAATATGGAGCAGAAGGGCTATTTTGTGTTTAATTTTTATAATATTGTGAAAGGGTTTTAGTGCTTCAGGATAATTTTCACAGTTCGTTAAGGATGTTTTTCTGTTTCCTATGTTTTTCTCTGTATTGTGCTGACAGCTTAATTCTAAGGCTGATGGACTTCGATACAAGACCAGGGGAAAATTTGTTTTTTTCCAGCTCCAACTCGTGAGCCAGATGCAACAACCACTTGTTTAGGGACCACGTCCCATGCTCAGACTTTGAGCTCGATGGTCCCTTTTGGCCTGGGGGCATGATCATTGCAGCCCTTGTGGTACACAAGCTCAGGTCAGCCTCCACTACAGCCAAAAATACTTTTTACTGGTAGCTTGCAAAGCATACCTCTACCCCACAAAACACCCATAAAAACAAGGCTAATGCTAAAGGCTTGCTTCACAAAGAGCTATCGCATGCCATTAATTTTATCTGCCAACATTGCTATCCAGTGCTCAGCTACCTATAGCCCAAAGGCAAGCAGCAGCTTATTTCGGGCTCCTGGAGTAACATCCCCTTCCCTACAAATGTTACCTGGCATACAGATTATTTGCTGAATGAAGCCACTGTGCTGACCTCAGGCATGTACGTGAGTTCTTCCACTCACTCTCTTCCAAAAGTAACATAGCACACAGCAAAGGCCCAGAGTTTAAATTCCATTAAGAAGTTTACTACAGAAGAGTGATCATTTAATAGGATCATGAAATTGCTTGTAATACAATGTGAACTTTAGCACAAGACAGCATAGATATTTTAAATAAAGACACATTAGCCTTGTGTTTGTTAATTTATTCAAAGTTTCAAAGACGAATTATAAATTTATCTCTATATTATGCAATACAGCAATTTCAGTCTTCATTTAAAAAGTCGGATTTATCAAACATACCAATGCCTGCTGGAAGTATCAGAGCACAGCGTTGCTTAGAAATCTAGCTGCTGTGCCCTGAAAATAGGGCAGTAATCTCTGGTAATCCCCAGGTATTTAAGATTACCATGGAATAACACTAGAAATAGCTTAGCGAATGATTTAAGAATGCCTCAGACTGTAATTATGTGCAGATAAAGGTCACCGGGTAGAATATTTCTGGTGTGGTTTGGAGTTCATAAGAACAGTAAGGGTCTTATTCTAAGGCACTTTAATTCCATCTTGCATAATTGAGGTGGAAAAGTAGCAGCATGACGGTATCTGAGTTAATTTCTTGGTAATCGGTATGCTTCTAATAGGATTTTTGCACTGAACAAGAGGGTAGTCAGACAGTATGTGAAGCAAGGGTCAAGGAAAGAGAAAAAAGAAAGTGAGAGTTTGGAAAGCTCCCAGGGAGAAGCATGTCCTGAACTGTTTGCTCCTCTTCCACAAATGAAAAAAGCAGAAACCTTCACAAAACTGTGAGGAAAAATATTTGTGCTCATCACAAACCTATTACTGGTGGGCCATGTTCCTACTCTCAGCCAATGTCCCTACTCTTACCTTGAGCCCTTTTATCCCAAGGCACTTGGCCACCGGAGGAGCACCCTCCAGACAACAAGTTTGGAACAGCTGCTTTGCAAAAACAAGCCTTGTCTCATTACCTTTGTTACTTTTCACTTGTGAGTATGCTCTAGGCAGGGCCTGGCCAGGAAGGGTCAGGCACCCTCACCCCCAGGGGATGGAGCCCACGATGGGTGCATGGCTCACGGCATCTCCTGAGCTTCAGCTGCTGCCCTGGAACCAGCATGCTGGAGCCTGAAGGGTATGAAGGGTATGAGCACGATCACAGGCAATCCGTGAATGTTAACAACAAATGACAGAAAGACAAAAAAAAAAAAAAAAAAAAAGCAAAAATATCAATGAACATGGTGTTCACAAATCAGCTAGAACAAGCGTTAATTATTAGAAAACACCCACTGTCACTGTGATCAAGATTTGGAACGAAGCTATAATTACAGCATTAGCTTTCATCCCCAAACGACTAATGAATCAGGGAACTGACATTTACAGCGATACTTAATTAAAAAAAGAAAAAAAAAAAAAAGGAAAAAAAACATAACAGAAACAATGGCATACCAAATTTGCCTTCTTTCAAGCCATGGGAACTTCACTAATACCCAGTGTTCCTCTGAAAAAGAAACAGAATAATATAGATTTATAATAAAGAAAAGAATTCATTACAATAAAAATAATGTTTGGAGAAATTACATGTAAATTATATTTTGCCAGGAAGCCAAAACTGACAATCAAATAAAAATGCCCTGAATAGTCATTATGGTGGCACAGATGTTCTCCTGCCACATTTCACATTGACTCTTTCTATTCAAGTTGCTCTAAAATAGATAATTGAATAAGAGTCTGTAACAGCAGGCTACAGAGCTTTCTGTCCAGTTTGGCTTCACAGACCTATTCTTTCCAGTTTTGTTCACAAACCTATTATTGCTGGGCTGTATTTCCTGGATATCGAATGTGGTGAACGCTATTTTAAAGATATATGTTTTGCAGAAATATGAGCTCCACAGCTGTTGCAGAGCCTTTTTAAGCCCTCTGCACTGCATGCCATTAGCGTTTCATAGAATTTGACTGAGAAGTTCAAAACGAGGGCAAATGGGCAGTTCTCAGAAGATCAGCTAATTCAGTGGGTAGGAGAGAGTAAGTGCTCCAAGAAATCATATTGAAATTTACTGAAAGTGCTGAGTCAACAGCAAACTTTGCATACAGAGTCTGCTAACTGGTTTCAGGGACAGATTATGCCTGTGCCTATGAAACTTTGCTTTTTATTCACGAGAGCTATTAAGGACTTTCATTTCAAAGGGGTCTTGGAGATCAGACATCCACATCCTGTCTGAAAGTCCCTGCGACTCTGATGCCATTGTTTGCTTAGGACCAGGGATAGATGATTAATAGATTTTGTCAGTTTGCTGTAACTCAGTAAAATAAAATAAAATAAAATAAAATAAAATAAAATAAAATAAAATAAAATAAAATAAAATAAAATAAAATAAAATAAAATAAAAATAAAAATAAAATAAAATAAAATAAAATAAAATAAAATAAAATAAAATAAAATAAAATAAAATAAAATAAAATAAAATAAAATAAAATAAAATCAGCTCCCATCAGGAAAGCAAGAACTGGGAAAATATCACGTGCAATTGGCAGAAGTGTTTCAAATGGTTCAAGTAGGAAGCTGTGTTTTTAATGTTAAATACAGGTAAATTTCACAATCAAGCACTGCTTGCACCACTGCAATGAAGAGTTCATCCTTTTTCACACAAACTCTACCAGTAAAAGTTTTTAACAACTCTGCAATTGCTTTTGATTTGCACAGATTTAACCATCATAACTATTTTACCAGCAAAATACACACCTGGCAAATCTCAGCTATATTTCTTGTGGCCCTTTGAGAATGACCACACAAAGTTCAGTCTCCTCTGTAGATATTGCCCTCAAATTTTGTTTCAGGATGAGACCCAAACTAAAGCACGTTTATTTTATTTTGGCGTTTGTGAGTGTCAGAGCAGAGCTTTGCCTTGCTTGGTGCTGGCAGGGCTTCCAGCATGTGCCAGGGAGCTGGTGTCTCTCAGCACTTTACACCAGCCCCATCCTAGTTTGGCAGCTTGAAGGCAGAGCTGAGTCCCACCGGAATGAATTTCTCCTTTTGTCCACCATACGCTCATGCTCACACTGTCACCTTGTACAGTCTGCCAAGCATATCACTCCAGCCAGAAATTGCCAGCGGTCTCTGCCCCATTGCCTTGCATAAAACAAAAAAGATACTGAGAGTAACCAAGCAGTGGCCCTGCCACATGCCAAGGGAGCAGAGCAGGCCCTGGCTATGGGAGAAGCTCCTCATCTCTGTGTGAGGTGACATTGCCTGCCCTGAGCTTGATCAATGCCAAATAAAAGGGGGGAGGAGGAAGGGAAAGGAGGGGGTAGAGGCACAATTTTGCACATACTGAAGCAACATCTGACGAGCCAGACTTCACATCAGAGTTAATACATTTGTGAGCAAACCACCTTCAGAATCAAGTCACAGTCCACAGAAATTGCCTCCATAGCCCCCAGATATGCCAGACCAATGCACAGTCTTGCAGGAAGGCTTGGACTGACATCCATATGTGATTCCTGAGGGCTACGTACAGTGCAATCTGCTGCAATTTGTTCACTAGCAGACAGGCCTTTAAACAAGAACAAGCTCCCCACCTCGTCTCCGTCAGCAGTCACTTGGTGTTCAGATGCAGTCCCTTGCCATGTGCTCTCAAATTCATTATTTCTTCTCTTGCTTCTTTTAATTAGAGCAGCTCCTTGTGGCTGAAAGGAAGCATGTGAGCTCAGCTGATTAAGTGGGGGAGCATTTTACTTGCCAGCATATCAGTTTGGGAAAAAAGAAACTGCCACCAATAGAAGTTTAAAAGGCTCAGCTATGCCATGGGTTGTCTTTAGCATAGAGGTTTACTTCTGAGCAGTTCCTGGTATTGAAAATTTCAGAATTTCACTCACTGCTGTTTAGTTAAATTTTTTAGTTATTTTTTTTTTTCTCTCTCCTCTGACCCCCTGAGACATCCAAATCCCAACATTGCCCTTTGTACTCAAGTGAGAAGCCCTGAGATACCATCAGGCATTTCATCCAAGAAAAACTCAGGCTCGGTCCTAAAATGCCCCTCCTTGCCTGGTAAAGACAGAAGCTGAGGAGCTTTCATCAGGAAAAAAAAAAAAATAATAATAATAATTTGGACCCTAAGACACAATCATCTTGGAAACAGGGTTCACCCTCTAGAACAGGTCAGTGATATGTTATGGTACAGACTCAGCATGTTTATCCTGCACATCAAAAATGTAACTTACTTTATGCAAAACTGGTAAAGTTTTCTCTCTCGGTTTGGGTTTGTTTTGCTTTGTTTTGTTTTAGTTTTGCTTTGCCTTTAAATAAGAAGATTCAGTAAGAGCATCCCAAGCTGTGAGGCTGTATTAGGCTTCCAATCTGAAGTACTTTCAGGGGTAACTGCCAGTCTTTCCCTGATGCATCTGAGAAAAACCTGTGCTACAAAGATGGCTGATGTGAGGAAAGCAGCTCTGTATGTTTCCTCTGGAGGTTCTTGCTCTCCATGGCACGGCTGTGGTCACATTGCTAGCAGCTCCATGTGAGTGCTTAGGGCTCCACAAACAGTGCTGCTCACAGTTGTTGCCTGCAAGCTGCTGTGCCTCTGTGGCAGGGGCTCCCCGTAGCCATGAGGCTGCTGCATGCTGGCCCCAAGGTCTCTGATCAGTGAGGCAGATAAGTGACAACCAGCCTGTTTTTCCTCTCACATTTCATGACCAAACTGCCTCCGGATACCACTGATCACAGCGTGTTTCCTGCCAGAAATAACTGCAGCCCAGGCTTTCTCGGGTACACACATTCGTGCTTTTCTACCGCCTGTTTCATCCTATGCACCATCCAGGAGAGCTACCAGGGAAGGAGATGTCTGCAAGGCTGTTTACTACCTTACCTCCATTCCCCTTCTATAGCCCTCAGCCTTCATCACCAACTTGCAAATCTGCATCCTCACTGTGACTGTGAACATGGTTTCACATCTCAAAGCATAACCACTACAAAACACCTAGAGTTTGGCTATTTTTGCCTTCATCACTCTCCTGCAAGAGTACCGCAAGCCCTGCCATGGGTCTGGCTATTCCCTTCCTTGAGCCCATTTGCAGCCTTGGCCTCCAAAACATCCTGTGACAATGAGTCCCCCCATTTAAGCATGCAGGGTGTAGGGAAGGACTTCCTCCTCTTTGTTTTAAACCCACTGCCTGGTATCTTCATTGGGTGTCTGTGACTGTGGGAGCTCTCAGTGAATAACCATTCCCCCATTACCTTCTCTGTACCATTCGTATTTTTTTTATAAACTTCAGCCTCCTAAGGCCAGACAAAGACTGGCAAAGCCTCGTAGGGTCAGACAGCAGAAACCAGCAGACACATCCCCTCACACCACATTGGGGAAAAGACCTGGAAAATTCAGCTCAAAGTACCTGCATCCATACAGAACTGCTTCAGTATCACCACAGACTAAGCAGCAGCAGAGGGGTGATACCGAAAACACCTCGCTGCAACCTGAGGGCAGGCAGAAAGGAGCGCTCCATCGGGTAGGAGCAGCAAAGAGTTCACACAGATGTAGCGCGGTTAGGAGGCATGCCTCTTTTTATGAAAACTATCGTAGGATTTGTATTGCTAGATGTGTATTTGAAACTGAGCTTTGCACCTAGTTTCTCAGTTTCCTTTCTTCTGCTTGAACCTGTTATGAAGTCATAAATATTATGGCCTTTAATCTCTTTTTGTGGAAATAAGTTACACCAGAAATCCAGCACAGCTTTAGTACAAGACTGGGTGTGCATTGTGTCTGTCTGTGCATTAAGGTTACAGGAGAAAATCCATTTAAAATAATGTATATTACAACAATAATATATCATTATTTCTCAGTAAAAAGCGGCAGCTTGTTTCCAGCATGTGAGAGTGTTGTTCTGAACCCAAGAAGCTGAGGTGGTACCTCTTGTGCAGTTACACTGCGCTGAGTGTTCAACACAGGCAGGCAGTACATCTTGTGTTAATTGTTAAATTGCAGCTCATTCAGCCACCAGGAGATTTCCAGCTAGGAATACCCAGCTGGTTTATTTCCTCTTTCCTGTATATTTGCCAGATCACTGCTGTACCCAGCACCTCACTTCCTCCTTCCAAGGGCAAACCCTCCCAGAAAATAAGCAGCAGCAACCCCTGAATTGCAGCTGCTGGAGTAGTTAATTAGACGTAGGGTGCTGGTGGCAATGCCGTGGGGACAAGCAGCTTGTGTCCATGGCTCTGGCAGGGCTGCAGGGGTGTTGCTTCAGGGCAGGGCTGAAGGTCACTATGCTCTGGTAGGGGCAGCTCCCCTTGCTCCCAGCTATCATGTCACAGGTTTGCAGAGCAGCCCCAGTGGCACCTTGTTGCCTGTCACAGCAAGATGCCATGCAGGGGAAGGACAGAAAATAACGTTTTCACAGTTTTCTGTGAGAAGGAAACATCAGCCTTTGTTCCAGCAGGTTATATCAAAATAGAATTTTGGTATCGGGACTGCCAGAAAAGGGGAAGGATGCCTTCAGCTGACCAGGCTGCCCTTACCACCATATGTCCTGGACCAGGGTCTCACCACAGAGCCCTGCCAGTGGTCCCCTCCTCTTGGCTGAGCCGAGTCCACCTTGGGCAGGTCACAGATGGATGAAACACCAATAGCAGCAGCAGGCTCCTAAGTGCCAGATTCATTGCAACAACCTTAAGGTCATAATTTGGCATTGGCATAGGCATTTATTTTGAAAGGGATTATCCTATGTCTCACCTCTGTTACTTAATAACAACCTAGCTAAAGCTGTACTGCAATGAATATGGCAAAGGAGAGAAGATCGCTATGCAGATCAGATACCCATCATTAACTTGGAGAGTGATAATGAGTAAGGTTAATAGCACTGCTGAGTAGAGAGAGTTTATCGTGCTGAATTTAGATGAGATCTGCAGCCAAACTTCCTGAAGATTTCACTTGCGGATGCGCCTTTCATTTCCACATGGGGGGCAGAAGAATGTACCACAGTTCCAGGCTGGATCCGTATTTCTGATGTCAGCCCATCACCAGGACTTGCATTTTTCATTTTGGACCCTTCTCCTCTTCTCCCCATAAAGACTTCCACAATAGAGTCTCCAAGCTCTCCGCTCTCCCCAACAGCTTTATAACACACGTATAAGAGAAGCTCTTTCTTTAAACATTTCCCATCGCATCAGCGCATAGCAGAATAGATTAATCTCCAAAGACATGGCCTGTAATGAAGCCAGCACACCATGGCAATGCAAATGCCAGAGCAATCAGGGGTAGGAGAAGGTGAATATCACAGACTACTGATTTATCATTACACTGGTGTGACCTTGTTAAAACTATCTAGAAATACGTGCTGGTTTAGGCAAATCTCAACCTGTTCTCTGGCCAAAATGTTCCTCGCAGGACAGCAGGTCTAAACAGGCATTATTCAGTACTATTTGGTTCTCAGTGAATCACTACACATAATTTCCAAAAGCTCACTAATAATGTGTTGGACCGAAGTAATAACTCCCTGTGGATACCAAGGAAATAAAGTGCTTTATAGCCCTATCCCACCTTCCACCCAGGGAGCACCCAGTCCTTTATGAACTCTTGCATTTACCTTCACCGCCTGGGGGGTCTAGGGATAAAAAGTATTGGAGACAATCACCTCTAACACAGAACTGCAAATTTCTTATAAAAATATAACATTGACGTATTTTTTTTTCCACAGGGTTTTTCTATTACCATTTCTCTCTTCTCAAATTTTAATTGCAAAATATATTCCAGGTTGACAAGATAACTTTAAGAAGTGAAGAGGCTGAATAAAACTTATCCTAAAAGAGTCCTGAGTCACCTTGATCATTCTCCAAAGACAGGGCATACCAGCACTGGAGTAATACTCCTCCTTCTACAATGTGTTTCTAGTTACTCACTGCAAAGCCATTAAAACAGCTGTATATGGCACAACGTGACATGAACCAGCAATTCTCCAGCAGCTCAAATGTAAGCAGACTCTCTTTCCAAGGAGAAACTGCAGTTCAGCCACCTTCGTGTCAGTGAATGTCCCAGACTTCTTAGTATCCAACTGATAAGCACTGGTATGGTTCAACAACTGAAAAACATCTCAGATAAAAACCCATTTGCCTTCCAGTAGATGCCTGGGGGAGATTTAAATTATTTCTACCAAAGTGATCAGTATTCTGCATGACGCTTTGCAAAGGAATTAAAGAAAATCAATTTCCTTCAGACCTTCCCATTTCTGAGCTTTTTTATGAGTCAATGACAGCTGAAGTGTTTGCATCATTAATGAGGTCTTTCAGCACATAATACCTCAAACGCTGTGCAAGGGCTCTCTCGGGATGGATAAAGAAAACTCGCTAGTTCTGATCTCCGGACTTCAGAGCCGGCACCAGGAAGCACGGCTGCATTACACCTCTCGTAAGTGCATACACATATATCCTTTTTAAACTAGCTTGCATTATGCAGGCTAGCTTTTTCTTTTTTCTTTCCTTTTTTTTTTTTTTTTTTTTTTTTTGCTAGCTCTTTGAGCCCAGCTGCATTCATATGAAACACCCCAGACTCCGTAGGAATCCAGAAAAGCAAAGGCACCAATACGTGCTAGACATTTCAAATCTTGGAGGCAGTGCCTGAAGGAAAAATAGGTAGTTCTTCAATGTTTTCCTGAAACACAGTGTGAATTGCAAGGCATAGTATGGCTGTTCATTTTCTCTCATTTATCCCAAAATTGGAAGGTTTGGCCTGAGAGGTTTCCAGCCTAAAACTGTAATTTTAGCACAGCAATTGTTAGCAAATTATTTCATGGCAGAGATGTGCAGAAAAAAAAAATAATAATAATAACATGGAGAGATGGTTACTCATGCTCACTGCCTCTTAGGATAACTGAAAAATAACCTCTCTAAGAGTTTGTCCTTGTTGTTGAACACTGCCTCTCCAGAAATGTGTTTGGTGGGACCAATGCTTGCTACCCAGCCCTGCCAGCCCAGAAGCACCTTGAGCTGGAGGAGCCTCCTGCTGACTGATGGGCAGGAGAGTCCCGGACTGTCCCCAGACCCCTTTTTCTTACTGAGAGAAAGCTGCAAGTTGTACTCACACCCTGCCATCGCATTCAGATTGGTTTGCCAGTCGAAAGTTCACTGTCACACTAAGGGGAAATTTACTCTCTGAGCAGCGAGGGTCCCGTGGGCAGGCCGTGGCTCTGTACCACAGCTGCCCATAGCTCTGCAGTGCCCACCTGGCTTGGTCTGTTGACAATCTTTCCTCTCACTTGATGGTGAAATCTTTGGTGCCATATCTACCCTCCTCCCTCCACTCTCTTAGCACAGGGGGGTGCACAGCTGGAGCAGAGTACACAGGGCAGTAAGCAACATGCACGAAGTTCAAACACATTGATATGCAAAACTGGTGGAAAGAAAAGGCCTTCCAGACCCAACAGCAATCAGATCAGGGCATGAGGTTGTCACCTCTACCTTAATGTTTGGTGTTTGCATGGCTGTTTATGCAAACCACCTTCAATGAAAGAATATTTGTGGAAATCCCATTTTACTGGAGAAAAGGCTGTCTTCAATGACCGCAGCAACAACTAGCACCTAACTATACAACATGAACTTTACAGCACAAATATTTTTTAGATAACAACTCAAGTTTAGGGAAAAGCCCCTGCTTGCTGATGCTTGAGCTAATGCACTTCATTACAAGAGTCTGACCATCCTGTTAATTGGCTAGATGATGCAGTCATTAAGATAAATGAGCTACACTTTTGCAGGACTAGCAATTCAGGAATCCATGCTGCCTTATTATCTTACAGAGAATAACAGACTGTAAATAATGCAGACATGTAATTAAGCCAACTAAACATTAAACAAAAACAAAAACAAAACAAAGCAACAAAAAAAAGCAAATTCTAAGGGTTCTCTTGTTTTTCCCCTTCTGTCAAAAGACATCAGCTACCAGATATCCCACAGGTTTCCCCAAACAGCCCTCCAGAATTGTTTGCATGTCTCAAACATCATAATTAGCTAGATTAAAGGGTTTAATGCCTTTTCTTCATGAAGTGACTAAATTAAAGGCACATCTAAGGGAAGACAGATATTCATGCACAAGAGATTCCTACCATCTTTATGGTTTGATTATCTTTTGGCTGTTGTAAGGAGAAGAGGCAGTCTGGATGCTTATGAGGTAATCTGTGCAATTTAAGCAATGCCAGACATTTACAACATGTATTGGAAGATGCAAACCCAACATAGATCTGTAATAAATTCAAAATGCAGAAATTAAACTAGAACCATATCTCAGCCTTGTATGGGGAATTAACTAGGACATGTACTACAATTTAGCGTAACACACACTCTGTGCAGGGAGCACACAGGTCTCTCAGACCGGCCCAGCTGCAGACACACAGCTTCCCTGATTCTCTGCCGTGAAAGAGAAGGCATTTGGCTCTTTTCTTGCAGGTCAAATACCAGCACTGAGGTGGAGCAAAGGACAAGGGTGAGGAATTACTCTCTTCCTCCAGAGGAAGTATTTGCCTAGCTTTTACACGTCTGCTGACATCAGGTTGGACATGGTCTCAAATCACCAATTCCAGCCTAAAAGCACCTACCAACCCAGCCCAAGGACCAAGGTGACAATTACTAGTTAGGACTCTTCACCAGAGAAGTCACTATTTGAACTAGAACTGGTTTTGAAACATTTTATCATGAAACTTTCACATGGGGAAGGAAACCTGACTGTCACCTAGTATAAAAAACTGTTCAGGGACTACAGCTCCAAGGAGAACTTTGTCTACGTCCAGGACTACTGAATATTCTGGTAAAGGTAAGAGCTATCCTATGCAGCCACTGCCTATGACTTCAAAACATCCTTCTGTTGCAGTTTGCTCTTTGCATCTAGTTCTAGTGCTTCTATTATATTTTATTTTCCTCCTTTGTCTATCAGGCTCATTACCTAACTTCCACAGTGATTTACATGAACGAGAAGGGAGTTAAGGCCCCCTGTACTGAAGAGAGTTTAAGAATTTCTGTTGCACCACCTCTTCTGAACGTGACTCTGACCTCCTGACCTTGAGTGAGCCTTTTCTGTCTTTTTAACCACACAAAGCACAGATCCAAGTGATGTATGCTGTTTGAGCACATCCAAGATACGTGTGCTCTTTGGCTAATAAAGATTCTCCAGATGAAGTACTTGAGGCAACATGTGCATGACTGGGAAATGATGGGCATGCATATAAATATTCATGAGTGTATATTCAGGCTTCGTTTCTCATATCCTGTGCCTGAGCATTACCAGCCTTGGGGCAAGAGGGGGAGGTGGAGAGGAGGGAATAAAGACAAAGAATACCATGGGTCTGAGGATCCTTTTGATTCCCTGTTCGTCAGTATCTATTTTGTCATGAAGATGAGACATCCAATCTGTTTTTAGAAAACATATGATCCAAAGCCAGGACTAATGTATAAATTTGAGAGCAACATCCCACCCTGAAATGTTCTTGCATCGCTTAATAAATGGTGATTATCCAATTATCCATACACTATCCATTGCAAATGAAAAAAGCCTACATAATGAGGCATGTAATGTTCTCGATGGTTTGCTAAAAAAAAAAAAAAAAAAAACACTATTCTGGGAAGTATCAGAAATACACATCATATCTCTGAATTCTGGGAAAAAAAGCACGGCTGATTCAGATGAAATTTGTCTAACAATATATAGAGGTAAGTACCTTTCAATTGAAAGCACATTGGAAAGATCACAGGGACTTATTTATTCCAGCAGAGGTCAGGAACAAATCATATTCCAAAACATGTGTTCCCTACCTGCTTGTTTCATAGCTCATGGATAGATGACATGCAGGGCAAAAAAACCTCTCACTTTCAGTCAAAAGAAGCCTCATTTACAGAGCAAACCTTATTTGTAGGTCTTTAAGCACAAGCTAGTTGGACAAGCACGTCTCTGCCAATTTACTTTCTGGAAAGGCAATGATGTCCTGGAGGCTGTACAAGATTTTATGCGGCAACTGCTGATCAAGCCCTCAGACACAAAGATAATACCATTTTGATAGTGTTTGTTGAAAGATCCTAACGGCTGCCAGGAGGGGAATTTCAGAACCAAAGACAATAACAGCCCTCATTAAAAACTAGATTTGCCTTGCTCATCTTAGGTTCAGTTAAAGGAGCAATGAAACCACTTTCTATATAATAAAAAACATCTTTAGAGCTGCCTCACAAGGCATTAAATTGCAAAAGAGGTCAGCGCTAAGCTGTTTTGCCTGAGAGTTTCCACTCATTGTGAAAGAAGAGGCTGAAATATTAGTTCTGCAGGATTTGGACTTTGGATACTCAAAGTCAGGTGAAGGAGTTTTGAGAGGAAATTGGAGAGAGATGGGGCTTTCTAAACACGTCACTCTTTGGAGATACAGACTTTGGGTATACTAAGAACTCTACTTGTTATGTATTTATTTCTATTTTGTTCAAGAAACAAGCACATTTTTCATTCACTAAGAAGATAATACCAAGAACAAGCTCAATTAATTATCTCAGACTCCATATGCCTGATTTCCATTATTTCCAAAATTTCTGAAGAAGTTGACTGAAGTTCCCAGCTCTGCATAAAACAAAAGCTCAGTGCATCTAGGAGTTTACAGGAAAACATGACAGAGTTACACTACAAAGATACCTCAGCAATGGGCCTGCAGGACTCCTGAGACTCTGGTGCTTCAGTCTTGGTCCAAGTTCTAATGACAGGCACTTGTCAGTAACTGGTGAAAAGTAAACAAAAGAGAGTCTATAAGGTTAGAAACCATGAGGACGAGAAGGCATGGAAAAGCTTCAGCAAGATAGAGGAAAAGACTATATACATATAAAAACATACACAAATACATATATTGCTGGTTTGTACGGCATGCAAATAATATAAAAGAGAGGTAAATCCCTCTTTTAAATCAAACCTCTGCTAATTTAACAAAGGAACACACTTCTACTGTGTGATATTTGAGAACCGAGAAAAAGGATGGGAACAGATGAATCAACATCACCTTTTGATTGGTTTTCACGGGAGCAGAGCAGAGCCATTGCTGAAATATGTAATTTTTAAAAGAGAGGGAAAGAAAGAAAGAAATCATATATATATAAACAAAAGCAAGGTATAAAAAGGTTCATCCTTCATCCTAAGAAACATTTCATCTTCCCTATTTCTCTGTCCACTTATTCCCTGCTCCTCAAGCCAACGTCATGGCCCGTGCTTTCTCCTCTCTCTCTGAATTGATTTTTTTTTCCAAGAATTTACGTAGATTATGTATGAAGTGAGGTCTCCTTGGTTATTTACATTTCCACTAAATCCTTCATGTGTCCCTCTGAAATCCCAGGAAAATCATTTGGTTTCTGCTTTCCTATTTATAAATTATTTTGTAGATATTCTTGAAGTTTCATTTGCATTTTGCTTTTCAGGGTTTAGAGGTTGAAGTGGGACTATTCTACAGCGGCTGCCTGTTTGTTTGCAAGCCCACATAACAACTTACAGGTAGGCAATTTGTTGTTTTTTCATTAAACCCTTCCATTCTTTTTAGCTGAGTGTTATGTTACCTGCTTGAGGGGCTGTACTGCTCTGCTGCTGGACTGGAACATGCTATCAGATTCCTTTCACGAGCTTTTAAGAACTTCTCAGGTAAGTTAGATGCCAGTCCAGATCACTTGCTTGCTGTGGTTACAGCTGCTAAGTAGTTATCAAGCATTCTTCCTACCTTCTGTTTCAGGGTACATGTATACCTGTTTTCAATATATCCTAATCACATGAAGGTGTAACTTAAACAGATCTACTCTGGGCATATGCGCATTGCAATTTTAAATATACACAAATATCAGTCTGTGCATTTACTTCTAAAAACCAGTTCTAAATCATTTCCGTGTGTAATAATAGTGGACAATATTTTATATCAGAATGAATACAGCTGTGGTGTTATTGACAGGTCATCTCTTTCGATAATGTGAATAATGTGTGTTCCCCCAAAGAGCATACACTACCAACTGCTGGAGGTGTAAGTGTCCATAACCCTCAGAAGCCCTCAGTCAACAGGTCTTTTCCACAAGAGTTTCAATCCTTGAGCACTTTGTATGTGCTAGTTACCCAATTGCCCCAAAATTAAAAATGGGTACATCTTTAAGGCCCGATATACAAATACAGTAAGATTCAGGCATATATAGCGTCAGTAATCCACTTGTCATAAATTCCACCTGCTGTGGCAAAACATCATTGTTTCAAGAGAAATTACCTACTACCTCAGTACACATGTAACACCAACTCCATTCAAAAATGTTTTGAGTCAGCCCACTGATGCAGGTGGTGGATGTGATTTGTTCTGATTCTGAAACTCTTCTTTAGCCATAAACAGCCAAATTAAACTAAAGAGCCTTTGTGTGGTCATCATACAGATCAGTGATCATTTATGATATTTGGCCATGTTCCCACGGCTAGTGAAATCCAGGGACCCCACACAGCTCTCTCTAAAAAGCAGGAGAGGCAAAAAGCACATGGTCCAAGATAACCATGTTCAGTCTGATTTGTAAGGACTGAAGAAATTATATTGCTACTCATGATGCAGAGCCAAACCACAAATACCTGCTCAGATCGTGAAAATACCATCTATTATGTAACTTTTATTCATAATACATAACAGTATAATAAAAATAATGAAGAATATAGAGTCATTATAGAGTCATAGAATCTTAGATCTGTGGTGAAACCTTTCAGTCAGAAATACTTATTATACTTGAAGTGGTCACAGCTATGCATGAAGGACATTATACCACAGCCCCTCTCCTCTCTGACCATGATGCAAAACGACTAAGATGATCAGTGCCCAGGAAGTCCACACCTTATATAAATACTTACCCACACTACTCACCAAGTCTCATCAGAAGAGATCTGGCCAGTCCCTCCATGAAACAGCCAGTGGCTGATAAGTGCAGAAAGCATAGAGGAAGTTTCCGTAGGCTTTGCTTTGCCATGATGTCAATGTCTTCTCATCTCCTGCTCATCAGAGAAGCTTCTTACAGCTATTAGTTGCCAAAAAGTCAAGGGTCCCAGTCCTGCTATCCTGTCTCCTTACCAGGGAAATCAGGTGGCCTGGGAAGTAACATGTGGCCTGGGAAACAGCCTGTAGTGTGTGTTCGTCCTATGCAACACTTGATAGCTCCATGTTTGAAAGCAATCTTTCCTTCAGCTACAAGTGCCTTGTGTTCTCCCATTTTTATACTGTCTCCATGTTCAGCCTGAGCATACATGACAAGCTGTGGGGTATTGAAGCCTCCAGAGAAGTTAGCTGGCAGACTAATGTAGTGATCAAATTTACACCCAAGAATGATTGAAGAGAGAGGATAGTTGTGGTTTCATTGGGAGTATCAGAAAGGGCTGGGGCAGCTCAAAATGTGAGATCAGAGCCATCAGGGAGCAGTAATACAAGCCTAAGAAACTGGAGAAGGAAGAGAGAAGTGGCTTAGGGTGTACTTGAGGCAGCAGATCAGAGAGATCACTTGTGAATGAAAAAAGTCAGATCCAAAAGTAATTGAGTAAAGGGAAGAGCTGACAGACAAAGAATTAAGCAAGTCTGTTTTTCTTTACTATCTTCTGTTCCGTCTGCACTTTGCTTACAGAAGTCACCACGATTATCTCAGGGACATTACAAGTCTGGTACTGGAAGGGATGGTGGCATTAACACACAACGCAATCGTAACAGAGGTACTGTTTATTAGACTAGGCTGTCTCCTCTGCAATTGAAATGCCACTGCTGTTACTCATCTATCCTCTTCCCCTGTCCAAATAACACTTAGGCAGGGATTACAGGAGCAGGAGCCCCGGACATTTGAACCCGAGATGCTTTTTTTTTGTCCTATAGGCATGAAGTCAGAGGGCACGCATGGGGTGCCTTCGAAGGAAGATGTTCCACGGGACACTGCACTGGAAAAGGTCCAAAGAGACTTCTAGACGCTTCACAACATAAAATTGTCTCTAAGATTTAAACCTCGGAGGAGTGGGTCTCTGTAAAAGCAGAGCTCTTTCATCCAGATCTTTTCAGTTTCGACATACAGTTACATAAATCATGTCAAGAAATGAAGCTGCAGCCAGTATCAGTGCCTCTTTTTAACTCTATCCATTACATCCCAGGAAGAAGAAGGGAGGGAGGAAATTAAGACATTTATTTTAGTTCCTAAAACATTTTTTCTTCAATATCCTGTTCAGGGCACATGCCTTTTCCCCATCATCTTTGATTGTGGTATAGAAATATTTTGTCTTAACTACCAGGAAAAAAAAAGAAAAAAAAAAAAAAGCTATCTTGAGAAGTAAGCCATTTAGAAACCATAGCAATAAATTAGTGATAATAATAGGAATAAAATCTAAGCAGCTGTTGATTTAGCCTGGAATATGTGAAGTTTATAACAAGATCTAGTCCGTCCATTCTCAGCAACAGGAGGTGAGGCTCCCACTACAGCAAATGCTGTCAGGCAGAAAGGACCCCCACAGGCATCCCAAGCCTTCGAGAGAGAAACCACCCCTACAAGGCAGGCTGCCAGACCAGGACAGCTGTGATTTTGCAGGTCTCTCCACGCATGCTTAGTGCACAGCATGTTGGCTAGACCCCTGATACACCAGGAATCAGTCACACGATTTCATACCTGGATAAGCGGGGCTGCTGGTGAAAACAACAGCTCTCAGAGCTGCTGTCCTGACAAAATTATGATTTACTCCAGGGCCAGGTGTCAATCAACCAGATTCATTGCAGAATCTGTAGCAATGGGTAAATATTACTGCTTTGCCTGCTCCAAACTGAGAAAGACAAAAGCAGGCATTCGACCTTATAGGCAGATTAGATTAGGAGACGACATCTTTTCTTTCATCTGACCATGTCTTCCCATCGCCCTCCCCCAGCTCTGCCACATGCGCTGCCCTGCAGACATCCCCCATTTGACATTTTCATCCATAAAAGGCCCACAAGTCGACTGATAGGCTCTTTGTGCACCACATGCCCTGTCCCAGCTCATCACAAAGGGAAGACAGAAATAGGTACGTAAGTAGGGCTGCATCTCTGCCTCATCAATCAACTCGGCAGTGATGATGGGGCCAAATGAAGTCTTTCCACTCATTAGATTCCTGTGGTCTATGGTTTGCCAAGAGTTTGACCACAACTCCCTGGTGTATGTAGATGGCTTCTGTGATTCCCAGGTGGTCTCTCATCAAAATACGTCCCAGGCCTGGGTCTGGTTAGCTTCCCAGAACAGACAAGACTGACACAACCATGGGCTCCAAAGATAAGTATTTATTGAAGAATATGCTGGGTTTGGTGTAGGAACAAAGGTCGGCAAACAACCACCACTTGTGGAGTCAGAGATAAGATTGTCACATTGAACCCAAAGAGATCAACTAACCACCTCGTTCTGTCTGGGTACAGCAGGCCTCTATTGTCTTTTTCCTTAGCCAAAGTTTTACTTTAAATGTAAAACCTTAAAAATCAGTATTTTTATTTTTTATTTTGCAAATAAGAGCTGCTATCACATTCTCATAGGATCTAATTTCCAGCATTTCTGCCCTCTTCCTCCCCTCTTCAAGCCAGCTCACTTCTGGTACCCTACAGGCCCAGGTTTCTGGAGAATTAAGACAATAATTCTTTCTGCAACACTAAGATAAATACCTGTTTTTTTGTTTTGTTTTGTTTTATTAAAGCCCCTTTTCCGTGGAATTGATATCAATTTATGATTTGTTGGTCTTCAAGAAGACCACCAGATGAGTCCTGAATCAATTCAGAATTAGTTAAAGGCCCTGGGCACTGCCTTGTTGTCTGACAGCAGAAGGTCTCTCTGTCTTTCCCTCTCTTTCGACCACACTGTCAGCCAGAAAAGGTATGAAACATGCAGGGAAGATTTAATAAATCAGTGGAAGGACTTGTAGCTTTTCCTAATATATACATGTGTGTGTTATAGAAGGATGAAATATAGGAAAAGGGCCACAAGAAGCAGGGAGGAATAACTGGGGAAAAGCAGCAGATGTTGTAAAAGATCTACTTTCATGTTCCCTGTGCACCAAAAATGTGCAGACGTATGTTGGCAGAGCTACAGTCAAAGTCCACTGTGAGGCTATATCTTACACATCTGGAAGCTATTTGGCAGGGTGTAGAGTTCAAATGTTTTCTGCTTCAGCTGGTCTCAGACATACCTTTCAGTGCCGGGCCAGGCTTGGGACAGCTCAATGTGCAGGCAATGTACATTAAAGAAGGCATTTGTTGTTGCTTCAGCGCGCTCCCTTCAGCTGTTGTCAGAGCCAGGCATAGATCTGGGGCTTGCTCTCCCCCCCTTGGCTGCACGGTGCCAGTAACACTCGGTAATGAGGATGATAATAAAGAAGCAGGGAGGAGAGCAGGGAGAAGAAAACGGCACCACAACTCAGCAAAGCCTGGCCTCATATCAAGAAACAAAATGTACTTGGACAAAATCCAGCGTGTGAGTTAACTCGAGTGCAGAGCAAGCCATTCAGGAAATAAGAAGGTCCGCGCTGCACGGGAACATGCAAGGGTCACATCAGAGCTGGTGTGCTTTTTGAAGAAAATCCCCTCACTTTAAAAACACGGATAAATACATGAAGAAAGGACCCCTGCCCCAGAAGGGTGGCAACCCTAGGCCAGCAGGAAAGCTGGCACACCACTGACCCAGCCCGAGAGCTCCCAGCAGCCACCAGGTGCCAATTGCTGTGGAGAGAAATGTTTCCCAGCAGAGATGCGCTCCTGGAAGCACCCCAAGATCCAGCTACCTGCCGTGCCCCGTGAGGAGCGGGCAGGCCAGCAGTTTGGTGCATGGTTTCCCCATCAGAATGAGACCTCCTGGTGCAGCACAGCTTGCAGTGGTGGCCGTGAGCAGCTATTTGCCCCACGGCCATCACACTGCGGGTGGTGCACGCCCGCCAGGTGGGTAAGGGGCTGCAGCACACCAAGGCTTTCCCCACCTCACAGCACATTCCTGGCTGTGCAGCTGGGGGGAGCCAGGAATGGACTTGGGCTGGTGAAGAAAGATGCCTGCTGTGAAACAAGGGGATTGTGGAGAGCAGGAGAACAAGCTCCACCTCATGATCAGACCTTGGACCGTCCCACCAGTGTCTCCACACTCTCTCCCCTGTAAGTCTCAACTAGTGCTCAGGAGCTGAGAGCAATGCATTGATCATTTCAACGCTTAGCACACTTCAAGATCCCACATCTGCTTTATTTAGATAAAGAGTATCTTACACACCTCCAGCTATCTTCATCCTCTCTGTCCAGAGCCATCCTGGAATTAAAACAGGGAAGCATAAGAGAAATTGGATGAAACTACATCTAAAAGTAGCCTGCCAAGATGTTATCACTCAATAACGCTGTCAGTGGTGGGAACATTTTGCAGCACAGCACAGATCTTGTAACACCTCCACCTCCAGCTCCCCACGCCTGCACCTCACTATTTTTACTTGCACCCTGTGCTCTCTGATAGGGTATGTGCCTGCATGCATGCAACGTGGTGCTTTTCTTTTTTTTCTCTCTCTGCTTTAAAACTTGGAGAGCAGCAATATTTCTTTGTTCATTTTGTGGCTAAGGGTGCTACTGGTGGTGATCCAGGGTTCAGGGCAGAGGGAAGAGGGGGAAGCCTCTGTGCTGCTGCATCTGTGGGCAACCACTGCACTCATCAATCCCTCCCCGGTTTGAGGTGCCCAGGCACGTAGCCTGGTGAGGAAGCATTGGATGGTGGGGTCGGTCTTGCTGGTCTTGTGCTCTGAAATGCAGAAGGCAGTGGCAGCCCAGCCATCAAGCCCTGAGCTGATGTTTTCTCTGGATCTGCATTTCCAAATGTTTCCTCAGCCTGGCTCTTTTGCCTCTCTCCCCCAGACTCATTGCCTGGCCTTCCCCATGCCATCCCCCCCACACACACTATGACAGCTTCTCTAAAACAAGCACACAAGCTCAGTTACCCAAGCCGCAGCCCTGCTCACCCGCAGCCCTCCCACCCTGGTGCTGATGTGGAGGAACGTGCTATTCTTCAGCTGGCACAATGAAGGTTGGTCAGGGATGAAAAAAAGCCCAGGAGAAACAATGAGATGTTTTATATCAACCTCAAATGAGCAGCCAGACAGGACTTTGATACTGCTGATCAAAAATGCGTTCAAGTCAGAGGAAGAGCCTATGCTTGTGGCATAACAAAAATTGAACCTCGGAGGAAAGTTAAAATATATCTGGTTGGGATGACTGTAAATCCCAGCAGACTGTGACCTAGGTAATCAATCTTGGTCTTACAAATAGCTTCACTACAACATACATATGACCATAAATACTGAACTCACTTTTGATCAACCTGGTGTGTTTGGCTTGGCAATATCTGACGTGGCGTGGTTTCTTGGAGCTGGATGGTCTGCAGTGGAAAAAAGGCTTAGCCATGACATCCAAACACTCTGCCTCAACACGGTGGCTCACCTGCACTTTCCCCAGCATGGTGGAATAAAGGACAATGGTTTTGAAATGGAAGTATCCACTGCAAGAACCTGTAGATGCACGTGGCTTCATCTAAGTGCTCTGAATTACAGAGCAATATGCAAGCCGTCACTTACTGATTTCCATCCAAGAGAAGCAGGAGTGCCTGCAGACCAAGGCCCAAGAACTGGTCCTCAAGCCACGTGAGTGAGGAGAGACAGGTAGTAGAAACAAACCTCTTAGTCCAAGCTGGGGGCCAGGAGCCCTGGGAAAATAACACGGTATGGCCTCAGGAACAATCCACCTTTGGCAAAGTCCAGAAAGGCGAAAAGGTAGAGGTGCCCTGGACCTCTACATCAGCCATTTGCCTCCAGAGAGCTTCAGACAGACCACAACTGCAGCAGGCTGATGTGCCCAAGCTCTTGGTAGCAGTACAAAGAGCTGGGGTGCAATGGTCCAATAATACAAAAGAACAAGGCGGGCAGACAGAGGGCAATATCTTTTATTAAACCTACTAAAACAGTTGTAGAAACACATACCAGCTTTCACCATGCAAGCATTTTCTCAGGTCTGAAATGAGCGTGAGATACCCCAGGGGAAAGCCATGACCCATGGCAAGAAGTGAGCATCTGAGAAAACAACTAGACATGGAGAGTTGGTGGATTGTTCATGTATATTTGAAATATTAAGTAGTAGGGTCACTGTTTGCTGCTGCAGCACTTGGACAGGGGAAGCAGGCACACTGCTACTCTGTCGAAGCCCTTTGGAAACCACCACACTGTGTTGGGCAAGGCTGGGTCTGGAAATGTGCGCGTGCTGGGGACACCAACCAAGGTCTGGCATCAGAGACAGTGTGCAAACCCTAGGGCAGGAGGGGTGATTTGGGACACCACTGAAGCCTTCAGGGACTGACCATCCAAGGAAAGCTCGCAGAGGCAGATGCTCTGCACAACACCCCAGTGAACAGCCACGTGCATCCACCAGGAACCGACAGCACTATAATGAAACCCAAGACCCTTAAGAGCCATTGTGAGATCAGGCATAGACAAGCAGGTCTCTTTTGGTTTCCCAGGCTCTGAGGGATTCTCAGTTTCTGAAGAGGGTGGCTATGGCAGTACCTAGTTTTGCTCATGGCCCTACTGCAAGTTGTGTTCATTAGCAAAGCTTGCCAACCTGATGAGGCTCCATCCAGTACTCCAGGCAGCAGTGCCTAGGAGCCTGTGGGGTGTCCCTGCTGCAAAGTGCACAGTGATGGGGCATTTGTGGGCTTTAGGATTCTGGGAAGAAAAAAAGAGAAAAAAAAAAAAGAGAGAGAGAGAGATTTACAAAAGATAGTGTCATTTCTTCCATCTTTATCCCTATAGCCAGCCTCAAGTACAGTGAGAGAAATACAGGTTTTGTACCTGCTGAGATAAAGGTGCAGTGGCACATGAAGAAAGCCATATGGTCCCTTGGAGAGATGACAAAACCGACTGCATTAGTATTGCTCTGGCTGTGTGGAGGCCACTGCAGCTGCCCTGCCATCGTTCCGCATTCCAACATCTCCTTCCTGCAGCGTATACAAAGGGAAAAATGATCAAAGCATAGGCCAGCCCTGCTTCCCCCATCAGAAGGTAAACAAGAGTACAGAGGCAGAGTTCATGCTTGATTTTGAACCCCTGGTGCTGAGAAAGAGACCTGTATGTGACAATATATGAAAGTGCTTGCTCTGGTGGAAGGGTACAGGTATGTGTCCTCCAGATCAAGGGAAAAACCTCATTAGAGAGGGGAGAGAGCAATCACTGAGTAGTATGATTAAACACATGGAACTAAAATTTTTGCTGTTGGCATTGAGCATCTCCAAATCCAGTAATGAATCGTGCTTTCTACCCCTTTCCAGCAGCAAGAAACCTCTTAAAATTAGGTAATCATGATGCAGTCAGAAGAGATACTCGAAATTTCAAGGAAATGCAATATATATTTTTGCTTAGCAGGCATCTCCAGAAGACGAAGGAAAACCTGTTCTGAATGAAAAATGGACCTTTGAGTTGTATGGCATAATCTTTACACATCCCCTCTCCACAATATGTTTTCTGTTGTAATGAAATTCCAGGCGCTGATGAAAAGGGAAGGCTGCTTGCCAAGATGAGTGAGGTAACATCACTGCAGAGTGGCCTGAAACTCCCAGTGCTCAGCCACACTTGTGATGCTGGATATCTCAGATAGGAGCTAAAGCTGATGGCTGTATTTCTTTCATATATGTACCTTGAAAATATGTACCTATTTCTCTGTTCAGACCATGAGAAGCAGGTTTGCCATTTAAAAAAAAAAATACTTATATCTGACTAAAACGGAATTGAAAATAAAAACACCAAATGCTTTTAAAGTGAGTCACAGGGCTTCCCTGGAAGAATGGAAGACACCAAGTGATCTCACTAGGTATTTTGCATCTTTCATGTTTCCTAGGATGTCATTAGCCACAATGCTCTGAGGCATATCCTCCTGCAGACTAAGAAAACCCTGCTTCAGATTCAGCTCCGGAGGAAATGGCCGAAGTGCTAGTGCAGACATGATCATGCTCCTGTTTCATGGAAAATGAAGGGGAGATTGCAGTGCAGGCTTTGATACCCTCCAACTCTGTTTCTAGCTGTTCTGCCCTTCTCAGCCTTCTGGAGCAGGAGCACTTCATCAGGGAGCATTCCCTGAAGGCCATGCTCCCCTTAAATGCTCACTGCATTTAAGAGGTGGTGACAGTCCTGGATCTGCAGATGTGTATTAGTGGTTTTGCTGACATCAGAGTCTAAGAGATACCTGTAATTTTGCCTCTCCTCTCTCCCATTCATGACAAGTTCTTCACAGACTCAACCCATGGTTTGCAAAAGCTGCAGGCACAGCCAGGGAGTTTGCTGTAGCAGTACCCAAGGCATTGCCAGGGAGCCAGGACGCAGACCTTACCTGTCACAGCAAAGCAGGATGACAGCAATATCAAGACCTCATCTGGCTCAGAGAAAAATCTATCTCTCTTCATATTATTTCTACAGTGGAACCTCAACAGCACTATAAATAATTGCAGCCACCCTTGCTGTTGGCAATCCCACTGTTTTATTTTTTGTTTGGATTTTTTTTGTTTGTTTCAGAGGCCACAGAAACGTTGTTGAGGGTGGCTAGGGCTAGTCACAAATAAAACTTCAACAAAATATCCAGTTTCATAGATAACCAAAAATCAACTGTTTACAATTCTGGTCAAATAGTGTTAGCCAAACAAAGGCAAGAATGAATTTTTAACACAGAATATTTCATTTGAGACAAAAACTAACACACTCAGTAGCTCCAAGGTAAATTTTTCCTTCCTATTACATATCACTGAGGAAAATAAAAAAAAAAATTAAAAAAATAAAAAAGGCATTCAAACCTGCTGTTTTGTTTTGTTTTGTTGTGAATTGGCAATTGAAACATAGTTCAGTTCAAGCTTTCATTACTCAGGCCTCAATATTCTCCCATGATTCCTAATAACCACATCAGTGCTTCTGCAGCAGCAAAAATCAGTTCTGCCCAGGACATAGGTTCCTCATCATCTGAGTTTCAAGAAATAAGAAGACACAAGTCAGGAACATTGTTCTACTAATCAGCTTTATCAAACAGTGGGAAGAAGTGAAGAGAAATCAAGTGAGGAAGCATTGGCAAAGTCTTATATTTATATTATGAGCTGATTACTTGATGTTCTCTATTGTAAGCAAATACCATCCACGACCCCATTTGTCTTCATTATTATCTAACAACTGCATCTTCACTGGTGTCTCAGAAGAGAAAAGTTTCAGAGAGAACTGCAAGCCATGTGGGTCCATTCCAAAAGGTCACTGCATGATTTTATCTGCTCTATTTTCTGGGTTTGCTCAACAGACTTAGCTCTTTAGGACATACAGAGAAGTGTGAATATGAAACCAAGTGTAAATAAAAAATAAATGTATTTTAGGAAGCTGAAGTTACCCTGCTTATCATTAGCCATTGACCCCTTTCTCTGACCACATCATCTCTACTTGTAAAGGAGAGACAGCAGGACAGTAACAAATGTAAAAGAGTGTTTCTCTTTGCCTACAATGTTAATTAGTGATATGGAGCTCCCTGAAGGGGAAAAAAAAAAAAAAAAAAAAAAACACTAAAACAAACAATAAACTTTTAATGTGTTCTAGCACTTACAGAAAGCAATTCTGCCTCTTGCTTGCAGTGGTAAATCAGCCAGAGGGTTTTCACCCACATTGCAGGGAATGCCATGGTCCCGTGGTTGAACACCCAGGGCACACCAGGCTGCAATGAGAACTGTCAGCTCCAGCTTGCAGCCAGTTTTCCCTTCTTCTTACATTCTTACCTATGAAGCCTGCAGTCTTCAGCCCTATTCTACAGCTTCTTTTTCCTTTCCCTGGGGAAGAACCTGACCTTGCAGTGCACAGCCCCACTCAAGGAGCCTGGAGACACCTCACAAGCTGCACACTGGCTTCCAAAGCTGCCAGCCTTCTCAGGAACAAGTTAACCTGAGACCACAGACATCCAGAGACCTCTGGAGAAGTCTGATTTACCTGGAGTAGAGCAAAATCTAAGATATTTACAGCATTAAACGTTCAGCCAGTGAAGCAATTTGGACAACTGGCAGCACAGGCCTATAAAGAAATAATTGGTTTGACAGCAGCTATTGTTTCATCAGCAGGATCACAATCTTAGTTGAATACAGCAGACATAGAATCATAGAACCATAGAATATGAGTTGGAAGGGACCCACAAGGATCCTTGACTCCAGCTCCTGGCTCCACACAAGACCACTCCAAAATCCAACCATCTGTCTGAGCGCATTGTCCAAATGCTTCTGGAACTCCTTCAGGCTCAGTGCTGTGCCCACTGCCCTGGGGAGCTTGTCCCAGTGCCCGACCACCCTCTGGGTGCAGATCCTTTCCCTAACCCCCAGCCTGACCCTCCCCTGTCCCAGCTCCATGCCGTTCCCTCGGGTCCTGTCGCTGTCCCCAGAGAGCAGAGCTCAGCGCCTGCCCCTCCGCTCCCCTCGTGAGGGAGCTGCAGGCCGCCATGAGGCCTCCCCTCAGCCTGCTCTGCTCGGGGCTGAGCTCACCAAGGGGCCTCAGCTGCAGTGTACCGTGAAGGTACATCCTGAATGTAGCCTCAGTGCTTGGAGGCAAATAAGGCACCTGCTTTGTCTTTTTAATGTTTCTGTAATCATTTGTCAGCAAACAGAAGCTGCAATCCCCATTAAAGAAGAAAAGTGGTAAAGGAGGATTAGATGATTGTCTTCTAGGATTCAAGTGCGCTCACTTAGATGGCTGACATGGTGAAATGGTGAAAGCATCATCTACATACAATCTTTGATAGTTATCTATGGGCTGGAGCCAATTCTGTGTAACCCGTTAATCAACTGAACAGTGCTTTCTTTTGACATCCTTGCAGTAAATTTGTCTTAGGGAGGAGCTTGTGGTTGCAAATGAACAGTTCAGTTAGTAAAGTTGAGGAAGAAGTGGAAATGACACGATACAACAATCAACTAATCCTATACAATTTTATTTATTTATTTATTTTCAGATTTGGCAGCCTGCAGTAATCCTATCACTTCTGTGAAGAAATACTCTTTGAGCAGAGCAACATCCACTGCAAGGACTGCATGGATCTTCTGCATTTAGTCTGCACACAGCAGAGAAAAGTCACTGTGCAGACTCTACTACTTTGGAGACAGACATGTGAGACTGGAGGTTCACGCAGTGCCCAGTGTGACATTTTGGAGAGCTGTGTGACAATGCTCTGCTGACCCCTCTAGATGAGCAATTGCAGGCAGTGGGGATGTCCCAGGGCAATGCTAGAGGAATAGATATGAGAGAGAGCATCCATCCTTTGGATGGAGTTAGTAGATGGTGGCTTTGGGAAGCTTTTTGGCATCAGGTTCCATTCCCTAAATATGTGATACAAAACCTGGCTTGCTAGGACAACTTCAGTTCTTTCCTCTTTCAGTTCTTTTAGTTTTTTCCATATCTTCAATATGGGGAAGAAACATGAAATGAGGAAGCTTCCGAGCAAAGCTGTGCAATACCTGTCTGTCCCCTAGCAGGCTGGAGCACACTCCTCAAGAAGTGGTAACCACTTCTTGAAAAATGCAGTTTCTGCAACAGTGTTTAGTTTCCAGTCATCCAAACATTTTGGAATCAACAAAATCAAAACATTCCACTATTATTCTGATGTTTATTTTACTGCAATATTCAGTTTTCGGTTTGGTGGGTGAAGGGGAACCTTCTTGGAATGTTTAAAAAACCTACATGATTTTCATGGAACTCTTCAATTTTAAGAGAAATGGTTGAAATTTATCCCTCTGTTCTGTGTCCCTCCAAGAAATATCTTTGAAACTCTGCTTCATGAAACTCCAGAGGAATTGCACTAAGGATGAAAGTGTCAGATTTCAGATCAGCGTTTTTATTGAATGCACTTAGCTTAGCTCCAGATAACTGTTCAGAATTTCATTCTAGTGCATATATAAGAGAAGCAGCTTTAAAAAATATTATCTGAGAAAGTAATTTCTCCTTC